TGAAGTTGAATAACCCTGCCCAGCTGGCTCTGCTATGTTATGCACGCTGGCTGACTCTGATGAGTCACGGTGATGGCAGTTCATCGCGGCGTGCCAGCTCCTGATCTTTCGTATGCGACAAAATTGGGTGCCTCAAAGCAACTGAACCATTATCACCAACACCAACTCTGTCCTAAGTTAAGATGCTAAAGTTGGGTTCATTGTTCTTTTTGTTTCATTTGCGGTAGCTACGTACAAAACGGAATTTCGCTGTTACCGTAATCCATGAAATAGGCCTATATATAGGAACTGATGGATCGTCGTTTGCGCTGAAGGGCCTCCCTCGATATTGTCAGAACGTAGCTCTGACTTAAGCCTAACACTGACCATGTTTCTATAACCACAATCACCTTTCTATCTCCTACCTACCTAACGACATATCCCCCACTATATCTGACTCACACTAGCTGACTGGCACACATTACCTCAGCATGTATGGTAACTGACACGAACGAATCATACTACCAGAAGTTCAGCCGCTTGGTTATGGCTATACGTCATTGGATTCAATTTACGCGAATAACATGGTAATGAATTTTATATTTCTGGTCCGCACTCGTGTATTTGTATGCAATCCCGCCCTTGTGGGCGATATTAGGTTTTGGACGGTGCAGAATAGCTGCCAATGTGTAAACAGCGTGATCGCCAATCAACGATTATGCCGTTAACCGAGCTTGTTAAAATTGTCCGGCTACGCATTATGCGTTCTTATTATACATATGCACCCTCTATTGCGGGTGCATTATCGGTGGTAGTGTGATATATATATATATATATATTTGTGTGTGTGTGTGTGTGTGTGTGTGTGTGTGTGTGTGTGTGTGTGTGTGTGTGTGCGTGCGTGTGTGCGTGCGTGCGTGCGTGCGAGTGCGTGTTTGCTTGCGCGCGCATGTGTGTGTGCGTTTGTGCGTGCGTTCGTGCGTGTGCGCGTGCATGCTGGCGTGTGTGCGTGCATGCGTGCATATGGGCGTGCGTGCGTGCGTGCATGCGTGTATATGGGCGTGCGTGCGTGCGTGCGGGAGGGCGGGCGTGCGTGCGTGCGGGTGGGGGTGCGTGCGCGCGCGGGCGTGTGGTAATTACCTGTCAGTGTTGCAAATGGCAGAACAGAATTTCCCTTTCCTCGAGAAGAGAATCGCATTTTAGTTCTCTAGAAGGCTCTATACGGGCCTTTTGTATGACACAATAAATAAATTTCCAACGTGCACTTAATTACAGACATGCTATACGTAGAGGGTACATGCACACATGCGCACATGTACTGTAACAACAACATCAACAGCAGCAACGATAACAACAACAACAACAGCAGCAGCAGCAGCAACAACAACAACAACAATAATAATAATAACAGCAACAGCAGCAGCAAAACCCAAACTCTGAATCCGAAAAATTCTTAGCGGTAATCATTCAGAAACGATAGTAACTCAGACTGACCAGATGACATCAGACTGGAGCTTGCCATATGCAAAGTAAACGCCACGCCCAATCTTAAACATCGCGTGTGAGATGAAATTCGTATGCACTTCCGTAACTGAGTCGACTTAACTTGGACTGCGAGGCACGAGCGGGTCGGGGAAACGGACGTGGATATGGATGGGCTTCATTTCCGCTACCCCCACCCCCAAGTGACGTGGGTTAAAGTCGATCCACGCACGCCAGCATGGTTAGGGAAGGCCAGTGACCTCGTAATACTACTGCACACTACTACTATCACACGTGGCACGAATATATATGCTTTATATGAAAGCATTTCGCTGGGGCTACTAACGCCAAGTGTTGTGCGGCAGGCGAAGCAGCAGCGCAGGCAAGCGAACGAGCGCACACCACTACCACGTAGACCATACGGGTGGCATCGTGCAAGTTTTATAGCTAATGCCAAGATGAACCGGACGGCGATAAGGTGACGAAGAATCCGGATCATCGGTCGCTGACACAGGCATCGCACAATTATTAGTTCAGCGCCATCTAGCGGCGCTAAATCACAGTTATCGCACAGCAATAGCATGCAAGTCTATTCACAGGCGGAGGCGGTGTTACACTTTTCCTAAATCAGCCAATCGTCGCTGGGACAATCACTTAGATCTTTGGTGGACGTGCATAAATTCTGTTTTTATCTCTTCAACGAAAGAGGCTGTACGGACCCTTCAAAGTGACTGACTGATCTATTGACATTTTTGAGAAATTTCAGTGTAATACCTTAACTTTGGATTGAATGTCATTAATTTGTCTAATCCGCGTGTACGTCTATACGGAGCTGTATCGCAGTGGTGGGTTTTTAGCATAAGTAAGGGTAATATTAGACTTTATGGTATTATAATAGACAGCTACGGTATATCTCTAGTGCTCCTAACTCGGCCCATCAGCTGGCGCTGTCGATGTTCGAACTCGGTCCATTAATACCTTTGAATGTCAGTGTTTTATACACTGGGTGTATACGCCAAGCTACACAGCCACATGACGAGTTCATACAGAGCTATCGAATTTTTTTCAAAGTATCAGCCAACCAAGCCGTCACTCTAGGAAATAAGTGAATATTTAAGCCAATGTGCGTCAATCGACGCGTTGTCGGGTCAGTTTGTGTGCATCATCTTGTATAGCACCAGCATTGCACATTAACAGAACGCAATTACAACTAACTTTAATTTGGACAATCCTCTTCTGCAAGTCGCCCGCGTACCATCTTCTAAGAACATAGTATCAATCCTAACAGTCATTCTCTATCCGGTAGAACTCATTATGAACTCAACTCAACTCAAATGTCTCCCAACCCTTGTTCTGGCGATTTTCGCTAGTTTTCCTTCCCTTATAACCTGCTGCGTACCGAGTCGTTTTCTAATATCATGTGAAAAAAAAATCTGAGCAGGTGCTCCTAATCTATTAATTCATGCTATAAACCATTTCGTTATGTAACGTACAGAGGGTAATATTACTTCGAATTCATGCTTCAAGGATGCAGTTATAAAGGCCGTTTGCGCGCGCATTAGATATTATTAGGTTGTTTTCATACTGAAATATCGCGTCTATTGAGCACTGGTTTAGCTCAAAAGAATGCGTGACACAACAGCGCCCGACTCGTGAAAAATAGAATTCCATCCCCTTTTGGGAAAAATATTCTCAAAAATAAAAGGTCAAAAGGTCAATTATCAGGCCGACAAAAATTAATGTGCAGTGTTGCCTACAACATTTTAATGGCGGTTCGTTGTATATTGTATATTGTAGTATAATTATTGTGTTTTTCTTTTCTGTTCTATATCAAGCATGCAGAACAGGAACGAATATATTGCATATAGCATACGTCGCTACCATTTTTCATATTGATCTTATGGCATGCTGCTGCATACAAATATGCAAACGAAATATTGTTTACTGAAAGTAATGAATTTTTAAGGTATTGCGTTTCAAAACAGATAACCGGCGCTGGAACAGGTCAAATAATCCATGATTATAATTTATGTTTGATAAACGATAATCAAATAATGATCTTTGGCGGATGTGTACAAACGCTATGTTTTTTTATCTCTCCATCAAAAGAGGCTGTACGGAAACTAATTCAAGATATTATTGGAAACTAGACTTCTTGCTCTATTTGCTAGGATGGCCGGCCTTTTCCCGTGTGCATTCGAGTGGTGGCCTAAAAATGCTTATGCAAAACCTACTTTTTTAGTGTAAAAACACGTTGTGGACTGCCCGATTTGCGTGTTTCGTAAATATTGCGTTTACAAAAAAAAGTAAGGAAACATAATTTAGTTACTAAAATATACACGGCTTGCAAGGTTCAAGGTTACAGCGTCGGTTGGTGACACTGAAATTTCCGAAAGTAACGTTGGCTGATTTATGAGAATTTTCAGCTTATAGTACGGTCGCTAATGGCGATGGATTTACAACTGTAATACCAGACACCAAATCGGAAAACACATTCGGCTCTTTCCGTTATTCCTAGAAAAGAGTTTCTGTTGAAGAAAAGCGCTATTCTGTTGAATGGTCCGAGGGTTCCCCAGACACCGTGTGAGGGATCATATTTACCGGGAAGGTAGCGACCTCTGTCGGGCTACGCTGAAGGTATTTTCCACACAACGTCAGTGATAGATTACACGGTATGAGCGATCTACGTATAGTACCTTCTCCAGGAAGTAAAACCCCTAAGATCACAAACCACGCTCATTGCCGCTTCCGATGAACTTCATTAATGAAAAAGTAAAAACGAAATTGTGCTCGTTATAGAGAAATGGTAACGATTTGCTTTTTAACTATTGCAGATGCCTGCAAACAAAACAAAAACGCGCGAGTCATGTCCGTGAAGCTCAGATGAAACGAGTCATGCGTGCCGACGATCGTCTAACTCGATCATTATAGCACGTGACGACGGACATTATCCGCTGGGCGACGGAAACCGGGTCGCTGTCAGCCCGCGATGCACAAGTGAAGCACAGCCGCGCCGAACCTGATCGAATTATAAACTACTACACCTACTCACCAGAGATGATGAGTGTGGGAGGAGGCCGAGTGTGAGGGGAGTCTGTGACGTTCAGCACGCAACATGCCCTCGGAGACAACGAGTGTGGGGAACCAAGTGTCGTCGTCGGCACCGCGGCGGCGATGGCTCTTAGTGTACACGTGATCCGATCGATACTGAGCGCCGACGAATGTACGGCACCTCGCTCACTGCTCGTCTACCCGGGGACGCTTTTCCCCGGTGTTCCTGCACGAACTCGCCGTGTTGGCCGCTAGACGAAGCGTTATGTTGACACGGATCGCAGAGACAACAATCGTCCGAGAGGATCTCTGCGCGAATCTCTCTGGTACACACATTCGTGGTAGCGTGTCTGTCGAGGTGGCTGAACCGAGTGCTGCACGTCCGCAAGCCACGCCGCTTGTAGCGATGCACGGTGCATGCGCGCGCGTATATCTGTACATCTAAATATATATGTAGGCTACACATATTTATATATATATACACTTACAGGCTTTTTTTCTTTTTCGTGCTAGCTCGCTCTTCGTCTTCCGACTCCTCCTGAGGGATGGCTGCTGCCGGCATAGACAGCTTCTTATGCAAACCCTGCGGCAAGCGACAAGCGTGTTAGAAATAGTTGGCGAGCGATAGCTATGCGGGGCACACATCGGTCATGTGCCACCTAACACATTGAGACTCGGCCACGCTCATCAGGTTTCCTAATACGAACGTATAATACTTTTAGATTATAACGCTGTTATTATTATGGATTAATTGTTATTATTAGTTAATTTTAAAAGTTTATATTGTACACATACGAGGCTCTTAATAATACACGTCCCATCTTCATTACACGAGTATAGTGCCCCGGGCAATAAATTGCCTTCATTTTCACTGTAGGTGTACAGAACGCGAAGAAATGTAACATTATGCTTGCACGCACGCGCATTGTATGGATTTTTCAGAACACTCTGCATCTGCCGGTGAGTTTTTGCCCGCGTGTGAGAATTGCTGTAACGCGTGCATGTGTACCGTGTCTTTCAATTTTCCCCTGAAGCGCCTACACTTCCTCGCGCATATAAACGCGTGTAACAAATTACTGCAATCGATCATAAAGAAACGCATATGACAACTCGCATCACTTTGCCTTTACAATAAGTTACGGGAGAGACGCAGCGGCAAAGACCGCGGGGCCTATATCTAGTCAGCGCCAGCGCCTCTCACCTCTCTAGATTTCCTCGCAAAAAGCAATCATTTATGAGAAGGGCCCTTCAGATCCCTGCGCAACCCGCACTCTCGAAAAATCGTCGGGAGATTGTAATGCGAATCATCTTCTAGATATTATAGATAAAGATGAGGATAACGCTGGATGGAGGATAAAGTTTAGGATAAAGCTGGATGGAGTATAAAAATGAGGATAAAGCTGGATGGAGTGTAAAGATGAAAATAAAGCTGGATGCAGTACAGAGATGAGGATAACGCTGGATGGAGCATAAAGCTGCAGCGAGAGCCTGACCGCATCCCGCGACGTAAACCCTGTTTGTAGCTAGTACCTGCGCAACAGGATGCGGTCACCGTCACCGTCACGGTCATCCGCACACGCCATCGATACAGGTTTCCATAAGTTTGCACATCTCTACAAATTCCGCAAGGACTGTGCACGCAGTAAAATCGTGGTGACGTTTTCATTATAGGTTTCACTAGGCCATCTATGAATCCGTATCGGACAGAGAGTATATAAATAATTGGCATTCCCTTACCAGACAACAGACAATGGTTGGGTAACTAACGTGGGAGCTGTCCATAGCCAGGGTGGCAGCTGGGTGGGTAGAAGGGTGGCAGCTGAATTGGGTGCCTAGGGTGGCAGCTGAGTTGGGTAGCCATAGCCAGGGTGGGAGCTGGGTGGGTAGCCAGGGTGGGAGCTGGTTGGGTAGCCAGGGTGGCAGATGGGTGGGTAGCCAGATACCCAGCGTGGCAGCTGGGTGGGTAGCAGGGTGGCAGCTGAGTTGGGTACCCAGGGTGGCAGCTGAGTTGGGTAACTAGGGTGGGAGCTGGGTGGGTAGCCAGGGTGGCAGCTGGGTGGGTAGCCAGGGTGGGAGCTGGGTGGGTAGCCAGGGTAGCAGCTTGGTGGGTAGCCAGAGTAGGAGATGGTTGCGTAGCAGGTGGCAGCTGGGTGGGTATGCCAGGATGGATGCTAGGTGGGTAGCCAAGTAGCAGCTTTGGTGAGGTAGCCAGAGTACGGAGATGTGGTGCGTAGCCAGGTGGCAGCATGGTGGGTAGCCAGGAGGAGCTAGTGGTAGCCACGGTGAGCTGAGTTGGGGTATCCCGCTAGGGGTGAAGCTGGTGTGGTAGCGCCAGGGTGGGAAGCTGGGGGTATTCCAGGTGGGAGCTGGCGGTGGGTACGCCAAGGTGGGAGCTGGTGGGTAGCCAGCTGTGGGAGTTGAGTTGGGTAGCCAGGGTGGCAGCTGGTGGGATAGCAGGGTGGGAGCTTAGGGGGGGGAGGGGGGGGGGGGGGGCGTGGTAGCACAAGAAGTAGTAGATGGGTGCGTTAGCCAGGGTCAAGCTGAGTTGGATAACTCAGGATGGGAGCTGGGTGGTACCAGGGTGCAGCTGGTGGTAGCCAGGTGGGAGCTGTGGGTAAGCCAGGAGCAGCTGGTGGGTAAGGCCAGAATAGGAGATGGGTGCGTAGCCAGGATGGCAGCTGGGTGGGTAGCCAGGGTGGCAACTGAGTTGGGTACCCAGTGTGGCAGCTGGGTGGGTAGCCAGGGTGGTAGCTGGGTGGTTAGCCCGGGTGGCAGCTGGGTGGTTAGCCAGGATGGCAGCTGGGTGGGTAGCCAGGGTGGCAGCTGAGTGGTACCAGGTGGAGTGGGTGGGTAGCCAGGGTGGCAGCTGGGTGGGTAGCCAGGGTGGGAGCTGGGTGGTAGCCAGGGTGGCAGCTTGGTGGGTAGCCAGAGTAGGAAATGGGTGCGTAGCCAGGGTGGCAGCTGGGTGGGTAGCCAGGAGGGGAGCTAGGTGGGTAGCCAGGGTGGGTGCTGAGTTGGGTAGCCAGGGTGACAGCTGGGTGGGTAGACAGGGTGGGAGCTGGGTGGGTATCCAGGGTGGGAGCTGGGTGGGTAGCCAAGGTGGCAGCTGAGTTGGGTAGCCAGTGTGGCAGCTGGGTGTGTACCCAGGGTGGCAGCTGGGTGATTAGCCAGGGTGGCAGCTGGGTGGGTAGCCAGGGTGGGTAGCCAGGGTGGGAGCTGGGTGGATAGCCAGGGTGGCAGCTTGGTGGGTAGCCAGAGTAGGAGATGGGTGCGTAGCCAGGGTGGGAGCTGGGTGGGTACCCAGGATGGGAGCTGGGTGGGCAACCAGGGTGGGACCTGAGTTGGGTAGCCAGGGTGGCAGTTGGGTGGTTAGCCAGGGTGGGAGCTAGGTGGATAGCCAGAGTAGGAGCTGGGTGCGTAGCCAAGGTGGCAGCTGAGTTGGGTAGCCCGTGTGGCAGCTGGGTGGGTACCCAGGGTGGAAGCTGGGTGGTTAGCCCGGGTGGCAGCTGAGTTGGGTAGCCAGTGTGGCAGCTGGGTGTGTACCAAGAGTGGCAGCTGGGTGATTAGCCAGGGTGGCAGCTGAGTGGGTAGCCACGGTGGCAGCTGAGTTGGGTACCCAGTGTGGCAGCTGGGTGGGTAGCCAGGGTGGGAGCTAGGTGGGTAGCCAGGGTGGGAGCTAGGTGGGTAGCCCGAGTAGGAGCTGGGTGGGTAGTCAGGGTGGCAGCTGGGTGGGTACCCAGGGTGGCAGCTGGGTGGGTAGCCAGGGTGGGAACTGGGTGGGTAGCCAGGGTGGCAGCTGGGTGGGTATACAGGGTGGTAGCTGGGTGGGTATCCAGGGTGGGAGCTGGGTGGGTAGCCAGGGTGGGAGCTGGGTGGGTAGCCAGGGTGTTAGCTGGGTGGGTAGCCAGGGTGGGAACTGGGTGGGCACCCATGGAGGAAACTGGGTGGGTAGCCAGGGTGAGAGTTGAGTGGGTAGCCAGCGTAGGTGCTGGATAGGTAGCCAACGTGGTAACTGAGTGGGTAGCAATGGGTAGGTAAGAAACGTAGGTGCTGGGTGGTTAACCAACTGTGAAGTTATGTGGACAGAGCTATAACACTGACGTTGCCCTCAGGAACGACAGTCGCTACGTTCACTCGGTCGGTCAGCTTCTCGGCTGCTCTCGCCGAGGTCGCGTTTGCACGGATGCGTGCGTTAGTTAGTGTAGCACCGACGTGTCGCCGAACACAAACATTGGAAAGCAGCTGAACGTTGACCGATATTCTTGAGATAATATTGAAGTTTGATTACGGACGAGCCGGAGGGTGGGGGTGATGGCATATACGCGCACAGGCACACTTCACGTGGAAGTAATGGTTAGGATATATTTAGGTCTAGCTAAATGTGGACTGCGTTTGTGTAGACATACATATAATGTACGTGTGTGCGTGCGTGTGTGTGTGCGAGCGTGCGTGCGTGCGTGCGTGCGTGCGTGCGTGCGTGCGTGCGTGCGTGCGTGCGTGCGTGAGTGTAATAATTTCCGTCACGCAATCTCATTTATATTAGACGTTATGTCTTCGGCGCTTGTTTCATTCCGGCCGCTCTATGGGCGGCCTCACACGAAACGCGTAGGCGCGCGTTATACACGTAAAAAACCGATTCCCTTTGACATTTCAGCTGACTGCGTACGATGCCTTTGAGGCCCCGCAGTATGCATGGTATAGCGACGGTTCGATTCCAAATGTATTTAATTCCGACATACGTCGTAAACACGTTGGGAAAATACGAGGAATTATACTCGTTCGTAGCGACAATTCCCATCCAAGCAGTGAGTCGATTTAACACGCGAAGCTATGGAGTATATACAAGATTTCATGGTCGTCGGAATACCGTTTGATATGTAGGGAAGATGATAATATAATGCGGGGTTGAGAGATTCAGAGCGATCAAAGTACGATACAGCAAGGAAGCGGCGTATAGCAGGGATGAGATCAGGAATGTATAATATATAAGAAGCATGACTCGCTCGAAACACAAGACATTTAACATTTCCATGCCCTACCTATAAGCTCTATATTATACACTCATTATAATATCAGAGGTGGGTGTATATCAAGAGTGAGAGTATATATTAGCGTGGAGTGTATATCAGGGTTGGTATATATATATATATATATATATATATATATATATATTATTATAGTATATAGTATATATATATATATATATATATATATATATATATATATCAGCAGTGTGGTATATATCAGTGTAGGGGGTATATCAGCGATGAGGTGCAACATAACAAGGGTAGAGTGTATAGCAAGGTTGTGATGTAAACATGGTAATCGGTGACACAAAGATCTGCCCGCGACACACACCATGACTACTTTAGGTTCAGCATAGAAAGTTATATACCTTCCAGTTCTGCTGTCTGTATCTACTGAGGCTCTAGACCTAAATCAATTCCATTGTGTATATATAGGTAATAGATATTATCAAACTATTTTAGTATTTCCTTTTATCTTTCACGGTCACGTCACGTACTACACTTCTTGTTGTTTTACATTTCGACACAGCACATCCACGTGGGATCCGTCAACATT